CAGGACACAGTCACGTTGCCCATCGCCGGGGACGACGTGGGCCAAGTGCTATACATCTGCCCCCAGGAGCAGCCAGAAACCAAGCTGTGTTAGCAAGACTGGGACATGGGACTCACCGTTGTCTATTTTCTGCCGCTCTAACAAAATACCCAAGACTGGAAAGTTTATGAAGAGCAGAGTTTATTTGGCCAAAGTTCTGGAGGCTGCAAAGGCCCAGGGCAGGGCACTCACATCTGGGGTGGCCTTGCTACTTGGTAACACAGCAGAGGCTTCCTCAGGTCAGGGGGGTGAGGGTGCCAGCCCAGGCCCCTCTTTGTTTTATTCACTTTTTTGTTGTTTTGTTGTAGCAGAAATTGAACTCACAATCTGGAGCTTCCCAGGTAGGCACTGCACCACTGAGCCATCTCCATAACTTATTTTTATTTTATTTGGTGGAACCGGGGATTAAACTCAGGCCCTTGCACTTGCCAGGGAAGCGCTTATTCTACTAAGCCATCTCCCCAGCCCCCATAACTTATTGTTTTTTTTGTTTGAAATGTTATAATGGGGCTGGTGAGATGGCTCAGTGGTCTAAAGCACCTACTTAGAACAAGATTAGTAAAACACAGGGACCACGGTTCAATCCCCCAGCACCACATGCCAGCCAGGCCTGCCCCCTGGTGGGCTGAGCTGCCCCCCCCATAAATAAATAAATAAATAAATAAATAAATAAATAAATATTTTTAAAAAAAGAAATGTTATAACAAGCCATAGGGTTTGTTTTTTTTTGGGGGGGTGGAGGCGGCAGGGGAGTACAGGGAACCAAACTCAGGGCCTCATATTTGCCAAGCAGGCACTTACTTTCTGTGCTGAGAGCAGAACCAAAAGGCCTTCTTTTTCAATTTTTAATTTTGAGAAATAGTCTAAGTGGCCCAGGCTTGACAACTTGTGACTCTCATCTCAGCCTCCTGAGCCCCTGGAATTCTGCACATGCCCTATCACACCAGCTCTCCTCTTCCCTCTCCTCCTGCTTTAAAATTTATTTTTGTACTCAGGATTGGGCCTGGAGTCACCAGCCTGAGCTTCATCCCTAGCACTTTTTTCTTTCTTTGAAACAGGGTCTCCCTAAGTTACTAAGTTGTCTTAGGACAGCAATCCTCTTGTCTTATCCCAGCTCTTCCTCTTATAAAACCACAACATATCACGTGACTTCTACCCTCACATCCTAATCTAGCAGGACTTCTCAGAGGCCCCTTCAAGTACCACTGAATTTGTTTTTTGGGGTTTGTTGTTGTTGTTGTTTGTTTGGGGTTTTTTTGTGGTACTGGAGATTGAACTCAGGACCTTAGGGTTGCCAGGAAGGTGCTTATGCCCCTGAGCTATCTCCCCAGCCCAGTACCACTGAATTTGGAGAGTGTGCTTCTAACATGTGAACTTTTGGGGTCCCCTGTGGGTCTGGAAGTTGAAACTCCTAGGGGTGCCGGGGCTGTACAGGCCGGAGTGGGACTCTCACAGGTGTGCAAACCGGGGAGGCCACCTGTCACAGGTGCTCCTCTGCCCCTTCCTTGGGGACAAGAAGAGGCCCAGGAATGGCTAGGAGTTGCTGGCTTCCCTGACTTCCTAGCCAGCTGCCCTTGGTGGCCTCCATGAAGAGACAGTTTTAGTGTCCAGGAGAAAAGATGAGACATTGGCTGACAGCCAAAAGGCATTGATTTCCTGCCTTGGTCCTCCGAGGCCCCTTTTTAATCAGGACCAGCTGAACCTGCAGTCTCTATCCCAGGACAACCAATTCTTTTGTGGATCAGCAGGTGGGGTTGGGCACTTTCTAACCTCAGCCCAGGTCAGCCTGGGCCCAGCTCCTCCCTGGGGAAGGTCAGGGGTGGCAGCCCTGTGCTCCTGAGAGAGAGAGGACGCAGCCCACACAGGAGGGCCCGCAGAGCTGCCCGCTCCGGAAGTTGGCTCCTGTCCTCACCAGCTGGACCCGGTGCCAGAGACAGGATCAGTTTCTCTGAGACAAAGGACTCTGTTCAAAGCTGGGTGCAGCCTGGATGTTCACCTGTCGGGAAGGTGAAAAGCACGTCCTTCATCCCCCACGGCTCTTCACAGAGCAGGGCCACAGTGACAGGGTACTCTGGCCTCCACCTGTCCCAGCCTCCCTCAGCTCCCTGCCAGCCTCACCATCCTTCAGTCCCTCAGGATGGCGACTACCCACGGGCCTGGCACCAAGACGGTGGACCCAGGTGTCCACTGTGTGGGCTGAAGGACTTGAAAGCCACCTGCTGCCAAGGGGCTCACCTGCCCAGGAGCGCTAGCTCCTCCTCCGTGGCCTACTTCCTGTTACAGATCCAGTGGGGTGGACAGCTCCTGGCCCTTCCGCCAGCTCTGCCTGTGGCGGGAGAACTAGGACCTAAGCCAGCTGTCCTTCGGAGGGGTGACAGGGTTGGCAGAACACTGCGAATGGGCGGAGTTCACACAGAAGTTAACTAGTGTGGGCCTCTGAATGTGCGGCAGCACCTAATTCTTGGTCAACACGGCTTTTATTTGCTGTACTTTTCTTGATACAAGATCTCGGCAGGCAGTTCAGGCTGACCTTGAACTCCCTTTGTAGCTCAGGCTGGCCTCCAGCTCCAGAAGATTACTGGGGAGAACCACCACATCTATTTTTGTCTTTTTTGCAATGACTACAAATTCCTTTCTGGACCAGGAAGTTACAGAGAAAGTGTAAGTATGAATACAACATACTTGTGGTGGAGATGGTGGCCTCCCAGCCCCAGAAGGTTCTGGAGCCACGGCTGCACAAGCCCTTTTCAGAGATGTTCTGGTGGGGATTCCTGCATCTGGCTGCTGGGCAAAAAAAAAAAATTTTTTTTTTGAGACAGGATCTAGCCCAGGCTGGTCTCAACCTCATGCTGATCTTCTGGTTCTTGCTTCTGCCTCCAGAGGGCTAGGACTGCAGGCATGTACCATCACATCCAGCTTGGGCCAATTATTATGTCTTTTAACTATAAAAGATGATAGATAGATAGATAGATAGATAGATAGATAGATAGATAGATAGATAGATAGCAGAGGGTCTTGCTACATTGCCCAGGCTAGCCTTGAACTCCTGGCTCAAGTGATCCTCCTGCCTCAGCCTCCAAGTGTGGGAACCACAGGCACCCAGCTTACTCAAGGCTTGAGAATGCAGTTGTCAGCCAGGCCTATATTCTGAAAACCTGAGAGCATCTCAACCCACAGGAAGTTTTTGGAATGGGAATAGAAGCAGCGAGTCCACTGTGGACAGGGTGGGGCAGAGACCTACAGTGGGACTCCAAAGAGTGGAAATGAGAATTTCTGGAAAACGCTTCCAAAGCAAGAATGTTGGAGTGAGAAATGACCTCAGCTTCTAAACTGGAATACACAGCTGAATGTCACAAACTCTCTACTTGTGGGGTGCCGGGAGGACTGCGCCTTGTGTGTGGACTTTTGCAGGGTGTCGGGGTTGCTCAGCATTTGTCCACAAAGGGCAGGGTGCCTGGAAGACCTGCCTTACTCAGTACCACCCCAGGGATCATGCCAAATCTCCAAGGCGGGGAGGCGTTCTCTGAGACGTGAGGTGGCTGGGCAGATCTGGTAACCCCTCCAGCCCAAGCTTTAGTACATGCCATACAGGGTCCCCAAACAGTGCCAGCAGCTGCCCCTGTCCCCATGCCTCCCTGGGGAAGGAGGCATGCTTGCTTCCAGGCTTCCCAGAGCCCGGACTTTCTGGGAGATGTCAGCTCTGCCCACCCCTAAGCTAAGCAAAGTGTACTGGCTCTCTTTGCCCCAGTGGACCCGCTTTCAGTTGAGATGCGCAGCCATGGCGATGCTTGGGCTTTGCCTCTTCTGAAGATGACTGAGGCCAGGGCTGTCACTGCTAGAAAAAAAGCAATGCCCAGAACTGCTGCCTACAAGGGCAGCCTGGGGCAGGACACACACTGCCCTGCATGGGGCGGCAGTGAAAGAAGGGGTGTCCAGCAACACCCGATTCCAGCTATGACCTGGGGCTGCGAGGCCAGAGAGCCCCCTCTGTCCCCAGGGCTCATGGGCACTCCAGGCCACGGAGCTGTGAACACATGCACCATGTGTGCACACTCGCGTCACTTGTGCCCACATCTGCTGCCCCTCTGGAGGAAGGTATCTCCCCATGGTCCTGTCTCCCTCCGATCAGTGGCCTTGGCAGCTTTCTGTCAGCAGGCAGGATCAGCGGCAACGTACAGTAGGCACTCAAGGCTCCTGCTGGGACAAGGCTGACGGATGACCCCATGACAGAGGGCCAACCCAGGGCAGGAAAAGGACATCTGCCACCTACCACCTTTCTTCAGGCTCCTGGGTAAGCCCTGCTCTGAAATACAACTTAAGATCATGTCTGAGAACCAGCTAGGAGGACACCCAGCTAGCCAACCCTCTAAGTGGGCACTCTGTAAATAATGACACTGGTCCTTCCAGGTGACACCAAAACAAATGATACAGTATGGTTTGGGGATGAGGCGGGAGTGGCTGACTGGGTAGGTCAGGGCTCTGGTGTGGGTGCCAGCTCCCGTACCTGGACTCCTATTAGGTGGGCTCCAGGGTCTGGTGAGACTCCCCGCTGGGAGCAGCAACCTTCCTCTCCAGAAGGAACCCGAGACAAGGATGGTGAGGGTGGCAGAGAGGCAGAGCTGCCCGAGTGTCCTGGACAGTGTCTCACTGGAACAGGCTGGTGCCAACTCATGGCACCAATGCCCATAATCCTGGTCACCTGTAAAGTCTGGGCTGTAAGTGCAGAACAGAGCTCCATAGGGACCCTCTTGTCCAGCTGGGGATCCACCTGGGACCCCTGGGGTCCATTCGCTGGTGTGGCAGGTATGATCATTACAGCAAATGTGATGTGCAGGTGGGCCCAGGCCCAGAGCAAGTAGAATGGCAGCAATTCCATGGTGATGGGGTCATGGGCAGGCGAGGGGGCCCCAGATACAACACAGGCACCAAATCCCAATGAGGTTCAAACACAGATCCACACGTGAAGGCGGCAGCAAGCTCTTTGTGTAATAAATATTGCAAAGCGCACTTGATTGCTTTTTCTTTTCAAGTCAAATATAACAACCAATGTCCCAGACCCTGTTTTCTGCATTCAGCATAGTGAAGCTGTTGGTATCAGCAGAACATCTGCAGCCAATCACAGACAAGACCCTGTCCCACTAGCCAGCCAATCACTATCCTTTTCCAGTTTAAACAGCCAATCAGGCCTCTTCACATTCCTAAAAAATGACCTAAATAAAGCACCAGAGCTCGGACAACTTCCTGGGAAGCCAGATACCGAGGCGCAAATTTTTAAAAAAATAAGAGTCAGAAATAAAAATAAAAGGTTTCCGTTGGTCAAGATTTAAAAATAAAAAGGTTTCTTCCTGTAGCCAATCACGAGTCCATCCCTTTAAGCCAACTGTAAATGCACCACTGGTGTGGTGTCCCCTGGGGTGTCAGCCCCACTGTGTGGCCAGGCTGGGGGTAAGGGACAGGGGTGGGGTGGGGAGGGAGGAGGGACGGTGGACGCTGCCACTTGCAGGAGCCACACAGACCAGTGGACGCTGCACTCGCAGGAGTCACCTAGACCGTCTGGCCCTTGACAGCTTCCAGAGCGTCCTGAGGGAGGGGCTCACAGCAGCTACTGCCTCCGATCCTCCGTCTCTGACCTGGAGAAGGCCATCACCACGTCCTCTGCACCTGCACATGGGGGACAGGAGTCGCTGATGGGTGATCGGGACAAAGCGGGTCATGCCTCCAGGCCACCCACCACCACCTACAGTGGGGCTGGAGAAAGCCCTTTCCTTCTGATCTTCCCTGCAGCCTGGCAGGGACAGGGACACACACACACACACACAGCCAGAGACCCCCATGGGGCAGGGAAGTTTCAGGGGACACCTCACGGCTGCGGGGTGGGAAGAGGCCGGACCAGGACTGACAATGCCTCAGTCTTTATTAGCCTGCTGCCAGGGTCCCAGGGACTGACAATGCCTCAGTCTTTATTAGCATTAGTCTTGACCCCAAGTTGGAGATTCCAGTCCAGGCACTCATGCAGTCACTGCCTTTGTCCTATTTCCATGACGGGCCCTGACACGCTGCCAGGAGAGACAGCAGGAGGAATGAGCGGGAAAGGCTGAGCTGCACCCCACCCCACCCCAGTGAGCTACAGGGAAGGCAGGGCAGGCCGTGGCAGGCAAGCCGACCGGGCATCCACCCCATCTCCAGCCCAGGGTCCCTCTTCTGAAGGGTGGTTCTGTGCGTGCCTGGCAGTAACATCTGTGCCCAGCATTCTGAGCAAACTTCTTGCCTGAGCTACGGGAGGAATGCTCCAGGGAGGAGGCGCTCGGAGCAGCAGGGGCAGGAAAGGCTGCCCACGGGTGGGCTGGTGCCCAGAAGGGCTGGTGCTGGCACAGCAAAGGAGAGTCACTGTTTCTGAGATGATGCTGGAGGAGGGGGTTCTGAATGCAGGGTGTGATGTCAGAGAGCCGCACCTTCATCTGGCAAGGCAGCAGGACGGTGCTAGGGACCCACCTACCCACCCTTCTCCCTGGCTTCACGGGCTTTTCTGGCACAACCTCTATTCCTGAAAAGAAAACAAGGCTTCTGGGAAGGCCCTCGCATCTTCTGGCTTCCTAGGAGCCCCTTGTTGTGAAGCCCCACAAACGCTCCCTGTCTTCTTGGGAACATTCTGTTCTCACCCAGGCCAGGACCACGCAGCAGCGCTGTAGGCAGCACCGTCCTAGCAACGCGAACTCCAAACCCTTCCTGTGCAGGCTCAGCTGAGCCCTCACCTAGCAGATGCCCACCTCCCCCGGGGGGCTGCTCCCTCCCGGCACACAGTGATGGGGCAGTGTCAGAAGATGCCTTGGTGACAGTCACTGGTGGCACCCACTCACGGCCTTCCTCGCACTTTAAGGGCTTTCTTTTGGGGACCTCAGGGTTCTGCTGCAGGCACGGAAATAGCATGAGTGCCCTGAAGGGAGTGGAGCAGCAGCCCTCCAGGGCCGGAATTCCTTTTGTGTCCAGCCCCCGAGGGAGAGTGGAGAAGTCACCCTTTCAAGGTCATATGAGGACATTGGTGACTACTTAACAAGATGCAATAGCGAAAGCTCTGTGGGCGTTCCTGCCTCCCTCGTCTGTCTCCCCAGGATGCTGGGGCAGAAGGGCTCAGCTCTAGCCTGGTGCTGCCCCAAAGGACTCACTGCTCCTGCCTAACCCAGGGAGCTTTCCTCTGGGGACAGGCCACTGGCTCTTTCAGAGCACTTTAGGACCCAGGCTTTTTTGTTCTTTTGAATATATGGCCTGGCTATATATTTCAGGCTGGCCTTGAACTGGTGGTGACCCTCGCCTCAGCTCCCCGAGTGCTGGGGTGACAAGTGTGCATCATCGTCACACTCCAGCATTTCTTTCTGTCTGTCCGTCCATCCGTCTGTCCGTCCTTCCTTCCTTCCTTCTAAGCTTTTCTTTTTCTGAGGAGAGGTTCTCAGCAGCTGGGACTACAGTGTGCATCACCACGCCTGGCTCGCTTTCACCACTTCTGCTCAGCACTGTTTTGCAGTGCTACAGGTGGAGCCCTGGGCCTGACACATCCCGGCCAGGCACTGGCATTAAGCACCTCCCCAGGCCTCATACGGCTTCCAAGGGGCGCTGCTGGGAAGTTAGCACATAAAAGAAGTCATTGGTATCTAGGGTACAAAGGAAGCAGTAGACTCATAGATGACGTGATCTTTTTTTTTGTGGAACCGGGGATTGAACTCAGGCCCTTGACACTTGCCATGGAAGCGCTTCTTTCACTGAGCCATCTCCCTGGCCCTGATGATGTGATCATGTATGTAGAAAATTCTAGAGGCTGGGGAGATAGCTCAGTAGAATAAGCGCTTCCCTGGCAAGCGCAAGGGCCTGCGTTCAATCTCCAGTTCCACAAAAACACAAAACAAAACAAAAAACCTGGTAAGTTAAGGTTGCAGGGTATGAGATCAACATACAAAACTTAATTGTGTTTCTACATTCTAGCAAAGAACACTGAAAATGAAATTAAGGCAGTAACTCTACCTGTATTAGCATTAATAATGAAATAGGAATATATTTAATGAAGTCCATAATTTGCACTCTGAAAAGCATTAAACATTGTTGAAAGAAATTCAACCCTTCAAAATCCCAGCTAGCTTTTTGGGGTAGAAATTGATAAATTGACCCTAAAACTCATATGGTAATGAGGGACCCCAAATAAGCAAAATGCCCTTGAAACTGAAGGACAAAGTGAGATTCAGGGGGCCGGGGAGATAGCTCAGTAGAATAAGTGCTTCCCTGACAAGTGCAAGGGCCTGAGTTCAATACCTGGTTCCACCAAAAAAATAAATGAAAAGTGAGATTCAACATTTCCTGGTTTCAAAACATATCCCAGGGCCAGTCAAATAGCTCAGCAGATCAAAGCACCTGCAAACAGGCCCAGAAACTGGGGTTTGATCCCCGCCCAGGCCTGCTGCGCGCGCGAGGCCCCACTGCCCCTGGGGCACACTGAGATGGCAACTGAGACTGGGTGTGGTGGTGTGGGCCTGTAATCCCAGCTCTTGGGAAGCTGTAAACCGGTGGATCACTGCGAGTCCGATCTAGTAGTGAGACCCTGAACACCCTGTACACCCTTCCCTAAAGTACAAAAACAAAAAACAAACCATATCCCTAAGTTACCATGGCCAAGCCACCATGGTGGGCCTGGGACAGGACAGGTGAGGAAGTTGGAAGCACAAGGCGGGTACAGAAATAAACCTGTTTAGGGTTTAGCTCACACTTGACAAGAGTACCCAGACAGTGCGTGGGAAAACACTGCAGAGCAGGTGCTGGGAGAAGGGGATATTCACAGGCAAAACACGACACCCGGCCTCACCGGGCACCAAATACCAGAATTAGTTCAAAATGCATCAGTGATCTCAACACAAGAGGCAAAACTACAAAACTCTTTTTTTTTTTTTTTTTTTTTTTTGGTGGAACCAGGGATTGAACTCAGGCTCTTGTGCTTGCCAGGGAAGCACTTATTCCACTGAGCCATCTCCCCAGCCCCTACAAAACTCTTAGAATAAAGCACAGGAACTAATCTTCATGACTATCGTGGCCCCCAGCTATGGGTAGCGTAAGCCTATAATCACGAAATTCGGGGAGGCTGAGGCAGGAGATCTCAAGTTTGAGTCTGGAGTTCAGCAGGATGAAGCAGCTAGGTGAATCACAGCACAGGAGGACCCGGACACAGCCCTAGCCCCAGCCCTATACCCTGCGTGCTGCCAGGGCCTAGGCTATGCCTTCCCCGGGGAAGGGAAATGACTGGCCTGTCCTCATCCTGTGGACATGGAGCTGCATGGCAGAGACTGGACCAGTCCACCTGTCACTATAAGCATGGATCTGAGTCCCAGGATTTCAAAACATTACCAAGTATCACCAGCACCCTGGGAGGTTGAGGCAGGAGGGTTGAAAGTTCAAACCCAGCCTGGGCAACTTAGTGGCTTAGTGAGACTCTGTCTCTGAACAAACAAAAGGGCTGGGGAAGTAGCTCAGTGCAAAGGCCCTGGCCTGATTCCTATTTTTAAAAACAAATCACCAAAGCAGCCAGGGATACCCTGTAGAAAATTCAGCATGGGACTCAGTGCCCCAGGAGCCCTCTCCCTCCTCCCCTGTCCCTCAGCATGGCCATCTGTACTGCAGGGCTCTCTGAGTCAGGGAAGGCACCCAGTGGGCCACCCAGCCCACACCCAACACCAGCTCAGCCCCTTGAATAGGGCCAGTCAAGTGGCAAGGGGAGAAAAATGCCAACTATGCAGGGGCTCAGCGAAAGGGAAGCTAGCGCAGGCGGCACACAATGGGGTCACAGGTCTGTGCTGCATTGGGGTGAACCCAGTGCATCTGCACCAGTGGGCTGGGAGGCCATGGCACACGCAGAGCAGGGCCATCTGGAGAGTGTCCCAAGTCAGACATCACTGGAGGAAAAAAGAGGTAAGCAGACCGGTGGTGCGCACAGGCGACATCAGTAAGGAAATAGGGGGCGGGGCCCCAGGAGTGACATCGGCCATAGGTAGGGCACCCATGTGACCTGGTTTGGAGCCAAGAGGGCCTCTGAGCCTAACCATAGGTCCCTGCTCCCCACCCCACATTTTCACTCCTTTTGGGCCAGAGCGAGCCAAGACTGTTCCAGCGAGAGACATTTGGGGTGGGGGTGGGGGCAAGCCCATGGCTGCACACCTCCTCGGAGGGACTGGACGGCTCAGAAGCCTGGACCCCACACACCTGGCCAATGGAGGGAACGCTCTGGCCTGCACTGCAGGTTCAGCCACCAGGGTGGGGAGCTGACTGGCTGGAGCTTCCTGGGCAGCACAGGCTCCGTGCTGACCCTGCTGAGTGTTCCACTTGCTCCCAGGGGCCTGGCTGCCCCTCACCAGGAGCTCCAGGGCTCCACACTGCTGCGGCACCCACCCCAAGCCCATCGCGCTGTCCCATTTTAGGGAAGGGTCCACAGGGTGTTCAGGGTCTCACTACTAGATCAGACTCATAGCGATTCACCAGTTTACAGCCTCCCAAGAGCTGGGATTACAGGCCTGAGCCACCACGCCCAGTCTCAACATCTCAGTGCGCCCCAGGGGTGGGGCTGGCCCTGCAGGCCTGGAGATTGACTATTGTGCTGTCTAAGTACCTTGGGTGTCTCTACCTGCAACCCA